CCTGCCTGAAACAGTGTGCTCTCCCAGGCCTCCCTTTCCTAGCCCTCTTGCTCTTCTCTCCACCCTTGTGTTTCTGGTAACTGAGGTTGAGTCTTTGGATTATCCAGCTCTGTTTTGTGTGTGCACACGTCTGTATCTGTCTCAAGGTAATTAATGAGAACATAACCTCTTGTTTCAAGCCCTTTACATGTTTCCATATTACCCCTCCATCACTGCCTTCAAAATAGCCTGCAGATGTGCTGGGATTGCACCAGTAGAATGACAAAGAATGAGACTGGAAGCATTAGCATCAATCTCAGCCATTAAAAATAAAGAAGGAATCCGAGTCACAGTAGCCGTGGCAAAAGAGGAGAGGACTTGGAGTCCGGGAGATTAGTGACTGATCTGTGGGAGCTCCGGAGGGGTTCAAATTTACTCCATAAACACTAGGAGCAGATTTGTTTTCTGACATACAAGCGGCCTGTCTGACTAGCCAAGAACTGCCCCACTAAGAAAATAGAAATTTGAGGGTAGGGAGAGTGAAGAAGAGAGCAACCAGCATAAAGATTTTGGGATCCAGAAGGTGGGAAGAAGTAGTGAGTGCCAGGAGAGAGAGAATGGTGTACCAAAGGAAGTGGGAAAGGACCACAGACTTCATGGTAAAAATTGCCAGTTTCTCTGAAGGAGAAAAAAAAAAAAAAGCCTGTGGTGAAGTTGTTCACATTAAGATGTTATTGACGTGTTGTGTATCCTCTCTCACTGAAAATTTGGTATTATAAAATGTGACTGCAAAAAGGGCAGCCATTTAACCCAAATGTATAGATTTCTAATGATGGCAGTTAGGTATCAGTGAGAGAACAGGTGGTAAGAGACATTTGGAATGAGCGAGTGTGTTCTGAATACCCCAGAAAGCCTAGCTCTGCTCATTTATGAAATCATCCTTCACTATGGGAGAAGTAGTTTCTCTTCCCAACACAGCAGTAGTCAGAGGGCTTAGGGCTAGTCTGTCAACCCCACCATGTCCTCCCTCTGCTGTTCTGAGTGCTCTGTGCACTGTGACTGGACATGGAGACAGTGGAATCCAGAGACCATGTAGCCTGGTCCTTTCTGTTGTAGCATTCTCCTGAGGAAGTCTGAAACCAGCTTTGCTTGGACTGATTTTTTGACAGTTTTCAGCCAGGAACACTGAGCGTGTTCCAAGGATATTTGGTTAGAAGCCTAGCCACCTTGGAAAATCAGAGAAGGGAGAGGATAGAGCATGAGGTGGTTTTCCTCACTTCTGTGGTTCCTCACAGGCTGTGAGTCCTCTAAAGACGTGAGGAGAAATTTGAGTCCCATATTCCTTTCTTAGAAAAATTGAGGCCGCCAAAGCTACAGTGTCTTGTGCAAGGTTATGGGGCATGGGTACCTGAGCTGGGATTAGGACTCAACAATCTTGTCCCCATTTTATAAAACTTTTTTTTTTTCAGATAAAAATTTTATATTGTCAAGGTATACAATGTATTGATTTAATATAGGTGCACATATTGAAGTGATTAATATGATCAAACCAATTAACATCTCACATAGCTACCATTTTTGGTATGTATGGTAAGGGCATCTGAAATCTACTCTCTAAGTAAATCCAACTCTTCAGTACAGTGCTTTTTTTTTTTTTTTAAAGATTTATTTATTGATGCATACAGAACTGGGCACAGGCCAGAGGTACAGTGGGCAGCGAGAGGATTCACCAGAGACAGAGTGGGGAGCAGAACAGGCTGACTGAAGAAGTACACTGTTGAGGGGAGCAGTGGGCGGGTCAGGAGAGGTCTGCCATGCCATGTGAGTTTACCTCCAGTGTGGGGATCAAACTCGTGCTGAAGTCGATTTAGCTTCTCAGTGCTGTGCTTTAAACCCACTGTGCCACCAGGGAGGACCCCAGTACAGTGCTTTTAACTCTGGTAGTCATTCTGTACATTAACTACCCAAACTGTTTAGACAGCAGAAATGCATGTTTTACCTTTTGACCACCATCTCCCCATTTTCCCACCCTCCTCAACCCTGATGATCAGTTTTCTGGTCTCAGCTTCTATCTATTTTAGTTTTAAAAGATGCCACATATAAATGAGATGATTCAGGGTTTTAATTTTTCTTTCTGTGCCTGGCTCACTTCATTTAACATGTCCTTAAGTTTCATCCATGTAGTTGCAAGGGGAAGGTTTTCTTCTTTAAGGCTGAATAATACTCCATTACATATACACACAGAAATATGCACCATAATGTAGCTATTGAAGACATGTTTCCATGTGTTGGTGACTGAATACTTGGCTACTTAGCAATGAATATGGGAATGTAGGTATCTTTGGGGTAAAGATTCCATTTCCTTTCTATCCCCCCCCCTTTCAGCACCTACTCTGTGAAATTACACCAAGTTTTGAGTCAGGCAAGCTATATTTCCAGTTTGACTCTCCTAGGAAATAGCTAAGGGATATGGCCACATTTTTTTTTTTTTTGGCTTTGTTGTTTTATTTTTTTTATTTTTTCTTCCCCCCCCCGACATAATTAGGAATGTTAGAGGAATGAATTAACAGTAAGTGAGAAGAGGTTAAGATAATTCAATTGTGTGAAACTATTGCACAGATTTAATATGATCAATATTGGTTTCTTGAAGTCTCTTTGGTCTTCTCCTTTGCTTTTCTCACATCTCCTATGGAGGAGATTAATAGAACTTAATGCCAGGTTACTCTGAAGATTATTGCAAAAAAGACCCTCAAAACTTTGCTTCCACTAGAAAATCTCACCCCGCAATTGCCTTGCTATTTTTCTTTGTAGATGACTTAATTAAAAAATCAGTTTAGATTCTTTTGAGGCAAATAATTCCAAACTTTTTTTTCTTTTGGTGCTCTAAAACTCTTCCTCCTTTAATAGTCATGGCAGATAATACTTTGTAGGTCATCCTAATTTTCTTTTACCACAGAATAGTGAGATTTGGTGTAAATTAGATTTGGAGCAAATGGCCTGCTCCTCAACCTTCTGTGGATTTTGTTCATGTCCATCAGCTGTAATGGTCCAGTTTAATGTATTCATGGGCAAGAGCGGGTACTCATCACCTAGAGCAGGTGATCAGTTAGTGGAAGTTAAACTTATAGGAGCTAAGTCTTCTTTTTAAGACAAAATTCAGGAACTTCCTTTGGAGCCTATAAGGGTTCATTAATGAGTAGTGAGTTAGTCAGAAATTGAGACTTAATCAATTACATAGCAAAATATAGACTTGAGTTAGTTACCCAAATCACTGAATCCAAGGTAATATGATGTGAATTTTCTGGTTATTTTAGGCCATCATATTTAGAAGAACAGCACTGACTTTATATTCTGCTGGATTTGGCTTTAATTTAATTGACCCCCTTTTTTATCACAGGATTGTCACCCTCCTGATAGTGGCTAGTAACAACGATTCTATAATCAATCAGATACAAGTTTAGATCCTGGTGCTACCATTTACATGTTGTGGGACATTGGGGAAGTCAATTAATGTCAAGTGTTAGTTTCCTCATCAAAAAAAAATTTGGCATAATCATGTCTACATCAGATGGTTACTAGTAAGAGTCAGTCAGATCATGCGTGGAAAAGGTTACCATTCACCGCTGTGTGTAGCATGTAATTTAGGGCTCTAGAAATGTTAACTGTAGTTTTATGATGATGATGATGGGTATCATTATTAGCCTTTATCACTTTGATCTACATAATGAAAATAATTTCATTCAAATTTTTAAATAATTATATGGAAGTATAATTTGCTCACCAAAAGAATGGATTCATTTTCACAATTGTTTTGACTGATGGGAAAGAAAGGATAGTGTAACTTTCTAGACTCCCTCTTCCTCCACTGTCTCACCACAGAAACTTCCCAAACTCTACTTATTTATATTGTTAATTTGTATATCGATGATAAGTTTAATTTGGGACTTGTTCATGGTAGTTTAGTGTGAGAGTGTGTGTGTACATACATGCAGCATGTACTTTAAGGAAGCCCAGTGAAAATACTTCTTGAGACCAGTCACTTTGAGTTCATTCATCAGATGAATTGAGTTTTTGCTACAGTTCAATCCTGTGCTAGACTCCCAAGGAGAAAAGAAACATGTAAGGCAGAATCTCACTCCTCAAAAAGCCATACATGCACAAGTATACATGCAGATTGATAGTAAGAAGATGAAATTTAGGGTCTAAAGTTCAGATTTTAATTCCCCTTTTCATCATTCACTACCTTTGTGACTTCAGGTAAGTCACGCCGCCTCAGAGACATCTTACCCTCAAAGAAAAACAAAACGATTATAAGAACCAGTCTTCTTTGATTCACAGGATTGTCGTGAGGCTCCTTTGTAATAATGTGTGTGAAATCTCTTTGTAAATTGTTGATGAGGTCACTGGAATTCACAAATATGAGTTACAATAATATTCAGGTGCCAAATTTTCTGATTCAGACATCAGAAACCTTGAGAGGTGCAAAGTATAAGCTGGAGTTATTAAGGAGTGTTTGCTGAGCCTTCAAAATCAGACAGGAGTTCAGTAGGTGGAAAAGAATGGGATGGGGCAGATGTGCTGGAGGAATTAAATATAAGCAAAGACTCCAGAAGCTATCTCCAATTAGAGGGCATAACTACCAGGGGAGTTATAATATATGGCTTCTCTTACGCAAAGACTTTCTCCTTCCTTTAGAGTTACTTATGGTTTGTCTTGGACTGTTAGCTCTACCGAGGAAGGGTTACTTTCTTCTCTGGTCTCTCTCTAGTGCTTCTCACACCACTTAGCACAGAGTAGGTGTTCAATAAATGTTCAAAAACTGGGAAAAGGATAGATGTTATGTAAGCTGGTGGTCTTGTCTTGCTGCTTTAATATTATGTAAGTTATAAGCCATTGAGTTAGGCACTATCTTTTAACTCCCTTGATGAAGTACAGCCCCATCTACTGTTGGGAATTAATATGAAATCCTTTTGCAATGATGTCACTACCCTGTGTGGTTTTTCTCCACCTTGTCCCAGCAGACTCCTTACCCCCAGCGAACAATAAGGTGACCAGCAAATCGTGTGAGTACAACGGAACCACTTACCAACATGGAGAGCTGTTTATGGCCGATGGACTTTTTCAGAACCGGCACCCCAATCAGTGCACCCAGTGCAGCTGTTCGGTAAGACCCTGCATCTTGATGTCTCTGCTGACCTCTACCCCAATACGAGATCATGCTTTACTCTCACTTTCACTCTGAACCTACACTGTACAGTTTTTGTATAGAAGACGAGATTCATCCAAATCCTCAGTCTCCCAACCCATCCACACTTCCCTAATCATCATCAACCCTAAACGGTTCTATGGAAGAGGTCAGACCCTGTTGTATCCTGGTCTTACAGTGTTAGACCAACTGAAATGGACAAAGATGAGCTGGAGGTCTTGATGTGCACTCCTGTTGACAGTTACACCACAAAAGCCTTCATCGGAAAGACTCACAATTATTTGCAGCCTGGGGAATGCAGTGGGTTGAAAAGCCACTGGTACACTCTAGGGCCACATACTCCAATTAACTAAAAGACAGAGTGTCTCTTGGTTCCCATCTCCGAAGATGTTACTAACCTGCCCATTCTCGGTGTCCTGCAGTAAGATAAATCTCAGTAAATGCTTTTTCATGATTATTTCTATGAAATTACTTGTTAACAGAACTCTGTACTTCAGAAATAAGTTATACTGATTAAATTTTCATGTAATTGTGCAGTCCAGAAAATGTAATAGATAAAACCATTAAAATTGGTGTTTAGATGGAAGTCTAAAGGAATGAAGTTAGGTACACAAACACATTTTCTGCCTGTAGGGGATATTGAACAGTAGATTATCAAAGAAAATTAGCAGACTCTCTTCTCTTGAGTATTTTTAATAATATCTCAATAGTTTGGGAGACTTTGTAATCTTACTTTTTTGGTAATCTTTCAGGAACCCTTTTAGCCTCAGAATGACATGCTTCTAAGAACTAAGCAAGGCTTAGGAAAGAGAAATATTTGAAACAGAGAATTTTAGGGAATGGAGATTGTGCAGAGACAGACATAACCAGCAAGTGAATTTGATCCTCTTCCTTGCCTTGTGCTGGACCGGACTGTCAGTTCACATCATCTTGTCTAGTTTTGCAGGGTAGTCCCCCCTTATTTGTGGTTTTGTTTTCCACGGTTTCAGTTACTCATGGTCAACCATGGTCCAAAAATATTACAAACAATAAAATATTTTGAGAGAGGGAGAGACTGTGACCACATTCACATAACGTTTATTGTAGTATATTGTTACAATTGTTCTATTTTACTATTAGTTGTTGTTTATCTCTAACCGTGCCTTATTTATCAATTAAACTTTATCATTGATATGAATATAAAAGGAAATATATAGTATATGTAGTTCAGTACCCTCTGTGGTTTCCCCATCCATGGGGATCTTGGAACACATTCCCCAGGATATGGGGAGAGTATTGTCTTATCCCAGAGAGCTTATCTCCTTGATTTGTAAGGGAGGTTCTAATGAATGTTACAAAACAGCAGTTGCTCCAATCTTAATTCCTTGAAATCCCCAACACGAAGTTGGGGTGTGATGGGAACCAAGAAGCCAATGAACAGAGAAGAGATAAGCCAGACTTACACTTGGTGATTAGCATGCCCCTGGCCTCCCTCCCAGAGACTGCTTGTTATCTTGGACCAGGATGCCTGACTAGGATTACCCACTGTTCTATGACTTAGTCTCTGGCATGGGAAAGTAGTAAGTGGGGGTGGGGGAGAGGCATAATAAAGTTATGAAGTACCTAGAAATGACGATGGGAGAGCAGTGGGGAAGACTTGTTCTGAGTCCCTGATCATCCCAGGTACTGAATTAAACCTTTACTCTTATCCCAGATCCTCTGACCTTAACTCAGTTTCTTCTTGGCAGGAGGGAAATGTGTACTGTGGTCTCAAGACTTGCCCCAAGTTGACCTGTGCATTCCCAGTCTCTGTTCCGGATTCTTGCTGCCGGGTGTGCAGAGGTAGGTGGCCATAGCCCGACACCTGCAGTACTGCCATCCTGAGAAGAGAGGCAAATCCTGCCCGGTATCTTAGGAACAGAAATTTCTATGGTAGCCCTGGTTTTTAGCCGTGCTTTCCTTTAGACAAGGAAATTTTTATTTTAAAATTTATTTTTACATCATTCTTCATTTTGTGCCCCTTTCCCTCTCCGTTGTAAGGACGACTGCGCAAGAGGGCAGCAGATGGAAGGGTGGGAATCAGCTAGTGTGAAAATGAGTGCCTTCCGCTCTCCTTCCTTAAACCCCTTCTACCTTGCCCCTCCAGGCCTGCGTTATAAAAAAAAAAAAAAGCCATTTTAACCACCATCTTAAAAGTAGGAATGGAACTTGCAAAGCATTCACCTTGTGGAAGACTGGGGGGAAATGTTAAGTATGTTGCATACATTCCAAAGTAAAATGGTGACATAGCCCATAAAGGCAAACTGGCTAAATGGAAGGCATTATCTTCTCAGTTTTTTCCCCCCAAAATGGAATCGCCATCTTCTCAAGCCTGTTTTTGTTTCCTTGGGTCACTTTTATTGGATAATGGCACCACTTTTTCTCTCTAGTTTCCGGGATCAAACACAGTCATCTTTCAGTTCCCTTTAGTGCCTCTTTTCAAATCTGTGAGCTCTATATCCCAGATTTCTTCTGCTTTCCCTCTGGCAGGGTCTCAATTTTGTCTTCTTCTGGCTACACTTGTTTATTATATATGCTGGACACTATACTAGAAAGCAAATATATATTGGTATATACTATAGACCTACAGGGGACTGCCGGACTCCAATGGCATCTTTACAGGAACAACAGTGAGAATTCTCTTATTTAAAATGCTCTAGTGCTATTTGCCATAAAATCTTTGTGCGCTCCCCTGCCCCGTAGCTGTGGCATCCTTGTGCAGTTCACAACCTATAAAACCCTATTTGGTGTATGCATAGATAAAGTCTCTTATGGAACTCACAGTCTACAGAGAAGACAAATCATAACATTGCAAGTACTAAATATAAGCAACTTAAATATAAGCAATGCCATTACTATGGGGGAAGTAAACAAAAGACGAAGGTAGAAAATAAGAGGTAAAAGCATTTAAGTTGAGTAGTCTGATAAGGCCTTGCTGAGATGACATTTAAGGTCAGACCTGAAATGTGGAAAGGAGTCACCATCTGAAGGTCTTGGGAGAGAGCATTCCAGGCAGAAAGAAAGGAAAGTTCAAAGGGCCCAGGCAGGGAATAGTTTAGAGTATTCGAAGAAGCGAAGGACATTTGCAGCAAGTAGAGGGATCATGGTCAAAACTGGCATGAGATAGGCTGGAGAAGTAAACAGCGATCAGACCAGGAAGGACCTTCTAGGCCATGGGAAGGAGTTTTGATTTCAGTTTGTTTAAGCTTGGGGACACCCTAGGAAGGCAGTGAGTATGAGCGTGACATAATCCAGTTCGATGCCTTAAAAGGTCTCTCTGGCTGTTTTGTCCAGACTAGATAGGAGGGAACAATGAAGCAAGTGGAGAGCTCAGAAGACTGTGTATGCGTGGGTGTGTGTGTGGGGAGCTCTGGAGGGGGATTGTAGGTGCCTAGTCTGAGGACATAGTGCAGTATAGTGGTTTAGAATGGAGCCTCTGGAGCCAGGCTGCCCCAGGTCTAATCCCTGTCCTGATTTCTAGCTGGGTGATCAGAAGCAATGCCTTGCCCTTTGTAAGCATATTTAAAGTGAAGATAATGTTCGCACCGACCTTCAAATGGTCATGAAATTTAAATGAAGTAATGCAATAAAAAAGACCTAGTGCAAGTTCTTGCCTGTAATGCAAACTCAGTAACAAAAAAATGAACACATTTGAAATGTATTTTGAGTATTGGTTTTCAACCACAGGTACATATTGGAATGACCTTGGTGAATTTATGTCTAGACTGGGAGAGGAGTGGGCATTTGAGGTGATTTCCATGAGCAGTGCAGCCATTAGAAAATCCCTGAGTTAGAAGGGAAAACGATAGGATATGATGGCCTTAACCGCACCATTTCCTACTCAAATATCTCTGTGCAGACACACATTGTACTTTACCACATGCCAGTCACAGTCCGAAGCACCCTACTGATACAATCTCGTTTAACCCCATGGAAACCCTATGCGGCCAATACAGTTTCTTCACTATTTTTTTGATGATGAAGCTGAGGCAGACAAAGATTAAGAATATAGTCCCAAGTGCACTCGACTGTGGTGATGGCACACAGGCAAATTGGAGGTGGGAAGCCCATGGGGATTACAACTGAGATGAAAAAAATGCACAAAAGGAAGAATGATTTAAAAAATAAAAATATATGTTAGAAAGAAAGAAAAAAGAATGTAGTCCCATAACTTGTGAGTTGAGGGACTAAGTTTGGAATCCTGGCGATCTCGCTCTAGAGACCAGGCTCTTCGCCACTCCATTGCCTCTGAGGGGGTGGCTCCTGGTTGCCACTAGACTATACATCAACTTTCTTCACGCTGATGGTGAAGGCCTCCCATGGTCTAGCTCAGCTCACCTTTCTAGGCCTTCATTCTTCCATTCATGCACCTGAGATTACATCCACATGTTTCCTGCACGCTTTTTCCTTTGTACCTTTGTTTTATAATCTCCCCCTCAGTGTTTTTCAAATTGTAGTGTGCTTCAGTATCACTCGAGAACATACTGAAATTCAGATCCTCAGACCACAATTGCAGAGGTGCTGATTCAGCAGCCGTGGGGTGTGACCCCCCAAGGAGGTATATATGAACAGGCCCCATAGCTCATTTCGCTGCATGTAGTCCATAGACTGCCGCTTTGGGTAGCCACTCCCAAGACCACGGAGACGCCTAGGAGCAACTGGGAATGATGCTTTTTCATCTGAGACTAGTGAACTTAAATTAAGCTGAATCAACTTGAGCAAACCAATGTAAAAGGAACCACTGGTAGTCTCTGATTGGTCAGAGCATGTAATTTCAATGGCATGGCAACCAAGTTGGGGTGAATGGGTGGTGGCTATTTTTTTAAAGATTTATTTATTTATGTATACAGAGCTGGGGTACAGGCCAGAGGTGCAGGGGCGGTGAGAGGCTTCACCAGAGACAGAGTGGGGAGCAGAACAGACAGATCGAGGAAGTACACTGCTGAGGGGAGTAGCAGGCAGGTCAGGAGAGGTCTGCTACAGCATGTGGGTCACCCCCGGGGTGGGGATCGAACTCATGCTGAAGTGGCTTTAGCTTCTTAGTGCTGTGCTTTAACCCCCTGCGCCACCAGGGAGGGCCTGGGTGGTGGCAATTTTTTGAAAATTAATTTATGTTCATGATTTTATTTTTGTATGTGCTACAAAATAAACTGATTTATTTCTTATGTTTATTTTTTTTTTGGTGGCAACTATTTTATGATAAAAACTGGAGGGACAAGAAACACAGAAATTGTCTAGGGAAAAGTTGCCCATATTTAGTAAGGGTTGGGAGGAGGGGCTGTTGTCTCTGGAAAATCCTCCCCTTCATGTCTGACTGTTCCTGCCAGTTGCTCTGTTTTTCAAGCAAAAATATATCATGCATTTTCTTACAACTCAATACCTAGAAGACCTCTTTCTCTTCTCTACCCCAAACACCCACCTTAATTTCTCCACTCATATCCTGTTATCAGAGGGCAAACTAAATGGCACTTCTTCCATGAAACATTTTTTTAAATTCTTGCATGGTGGAAGTAAATGTCACTCTTCTCTGGAACCTCCAGCACTTAACCTGTGCTTCTCCAGTAGTGCTTATCACTTCATCATCTTTTGTTATTTCTGCCCGTGTCTTATCCTTACGAACGTGCAAGCTCCTAGGGAGAAACTGTATCTGGTTCATCTTTTCCTACAAAATAGAGGCTCTTTGAATAAATGAACACTAGATTGTGAGTATTGTCAGAAATTTAGTCATGGTTTGAATGAGTTGCGACTAAAATACATATGATTGTTGTGTTTTCTTCTCTGAATTGCCGATTGGCTGTGGGAGAGGGAACTGACTATCTTTTAGTTCATGGCCAATTGGAGTTGCCTAGTCTCTTTCTTTATTTTCATTCCTATCCCACTGTACAGCGCTGTAATTCATATTTATTTTTTGAAAAAAAAATGTCCTTGCTCTGATTATGAATATATGCTTATCCATTTTAATCTACTCTTTGTACCAACCCTCAGAAGTCAATATGGGTTCACACGCAGCCCAGTATGGTTTATGCTTCAGCAAAGCCCTCATTCCTTCCATCCTCCTCGTTCACTGTGTGTATGTATATCAATACTTAAGTCCACTATTACATTTCAATAAGGAAAAGTGAGTGTTATGTTCTCACCCCTTTTTCCACATTTGCCCCAACTAAATCTGCGTCTGCTTCAAAGTAGCATACACGGGGGCTGTTGCTCTCATAACCAGCCATTCACTATCATGCAGCTATTAAACTAAGAGTATTTTGTTTGAGGGAAAGGATATGAGAACTTTATAGTGAAGAACAATTAATACAAGAAAGCAAATTACAAAAAGACATATTACTGCATCTGTTACAACCAGCGTCAAAGTTATATGAACGACATAAGTTCTGAAGGCACAAGAACATTAATTTGACATTGCTAAACCCGCACCTACTAGTGATGTCACCTTGGACAAATCACTCATAACTGTGATTTTCTCATCGATAAGTGGAGATCGTATTATCTACCACTCATGGAAAGTTTGTAAAAAATTAACAGATTTTATGGCATCAAAAGTAGAATACAGCTATTCCAGAGCTTTTGCCTAATAAGTGATGAGTATTATATTTTATGTAAGACATATGTAGAATATAAACTTTATTATAATTCACACAGTATAATATGAATGTCATCATATATACTGTATGATACATTATATAATATTACATTATATATTACATTTTAATTGCTACATTTTTACCTTGGGATTCAATAAAATTTTACCTTCTCTATCTTTAGTCGTCTAACCTTTTTATTTATCTCCAAACACA